GTTGGCTTTCTTGGACTGTGAGGTCTCAGTCTCTGATAGAGGACATTTGCAAACTGAGGTGTACCGCAAACCCACCCACACAGACCAGTATTTGCAGTTTGACTCCCATCACCCTTTGGAGCACAAGTTAGGAGTCATCAGGACTCTGTATCACAGAGCAGACAGCGTCCCCACTAGCTCAGGAGCCAGGCAGAAGGAGAAATCCCACACAAGACAGGCTCTAGAGCAATGTGGATATCCTAACTGGGCCTTCCTGAAAGCAGAGAAGAAACCCAAACAGGACTCCAGTCAGCCATCAGGTGAAAAGGAGGAATCCAGACCCAGACCAGTGGTCATTCCATATGTTGAGGGGGTATCAGAGAAACTGAGACGTTTATTTTCTAAACATAACGTCCCAGTGGCTTTTAAACCCCAAAATACATTAAAGACTGGTTCATCCCAAAGATCCAGTCCCCCGGCACAAACAGAGCAATGTTGTGTATGTTGTTCAGTGTCAGGAGGGTGATCAGTCTTACATCGGGGAAACTAAACAGCCACTGGCCAAAAGGATGGACCAGCACAGAAGATCAACATCATCAGGCCAGGACTCTGAGGTCTACACTCATCTCCAGGCCAGCGGTCACTCTTTCAGGGATGAAGATGTTCACATCCTGGACAGAGAGGAACAATGGTTTGAGAGAGGAGTAAAGGAGGCCATCTTTGTGAAAAGAAACCGTCCATCATTAAACAGGGGTGGAGCCTCCGGGTTCAACTGTCCCCCTCTTACAATGCTGTGATTGCTAGTATCACTCAGCCCTCTGAGAACAGTAAACAGCCATCAGGTGCTAATGATCCATTGTTAGGCTGATGGTCCTTCTTGAGCATGTGATCAGCTGGTTCTGGTTGTCAGCAGCAAACTGGTTGATCCACTCTGAGAAGGTGCTATTTAAGAGACTGAGCTGAATACAGCACCTCAGACTGAGGAAGTCCTCAGGATGAGAGACGAAACATTTCTACATTTTTTTTTTGTTGTTTTACTTTGTTTTGTTTTGTTTTGAATGTTCAGAGGACCAGATTGAACTTTTTTGGATTTTTCTACCTGGATTATTGAGCATGCATCAGGATATTTACTTTTTCACTTTTTGGTACTTTATGTTGTACCCTTATTGAATGCTTTAGTATTTCTTGTTTGTTTGTTCGTTTCTTTAGTGAGTCAAATCAGTTCTTCTCATCCTGAATATTTTATTGTACTGTTAATCTTGGGTTAACCTGCATATGACAAATAAACATAACCTGAATTAAGCATCAACCTTTAATTTAACCATTAAGCATACAATGTAATTGTGACAGAAAATAGAGGATTTACCTGCAGTTACTTTCATAGAGATGAATATGTGGTAGCTACTTCCTGTTTATAACTTGTGATCAGCTGATGGGAATTGATTGATTGGGGATTGAAAAAGAATAAACTGTATCCCACCCTCTAAGCTCTCAGGGTAACACGTGTCTGAATTGCCTGTTTTCCACTGACACCGTTTAACCATTTTTTTCTGGTGATTTTTCACAAACCCCTTCTGACTGCAAAGCGTCCAGGCTGTAGCCTCAGATCTGCACGTAAGGGGCGTTTACCTTTGAGACAAATTGAGGTTATTGATTGGTCATTTGCTGACACACCTATTGGGATGATTGACAGGTTGCACAGCGGAGCCGACTTGTGGGAAGAGAAAAAAAAAACGAGAGCTGGAGCCGGTGTTCTGCACACCAGCCCTGCGGTGGAGGTGGGGCAGCCCAGAAGCAGCGGTAGCGTGTTCTGTATTTAAATGTTGTTAACAAAAAGTTCTAAAAAATAAAAAAACAAGGAGCGCCGGCCCTGTAACCCACAAATCTGACCGGCCCACTGGGAAATCTGAAGATTGTCCCGATTGGCCACTCCAGGCCTGTACGGATGTGAACTTGTTAGAAATAAATCCAGCCAAATGTCGGTGCACCACACTGTCCTGGAGACCTGACCCTGAAACTCAAAGAGCTTCCTGTTTCAGTTTGTGCTCAGCTGAAGGTCAGGACGGCTCATGTTCTGACACTAAACCCACGATGGGCTGAAGCTCACTCCATGAATTGTTTGCTTCATCACAGAGGAGTCGACACCAAAAGAGTCCGATACTTGGAGAGAAAGAAGGTCTACTTCTTATCGCTTCAATCAACAGCTGATAGCAACTATTCCTGTCATCAACGAGGAGAAGTGTGGACTGAGACAGAAGAACAAACATCTGGAACAGAGTGAGCAGGTGTGTCCCGAGGAGGTCTGTGGACACAAACCACCTCCTGGAGTGTGATGTGGTGAAACCTGTCCAGGTCTTCAGTGTTCATATTTCAGATCATCTCCTGGGCTAGATCACTTTGTTCCTTACAAAATGAACATTTCTGACACTAATTGGTGATTCATGTTTCAGTTGTTCAGCCATGAAGGTAGCTGCCTGCTTCAAGTCTTACAACAAAACAAAAACAACGTTAAAACATGGACTCACCCTTTGTGTTAAAGAGGCGGGACTTCCTGCAGGTATAAACTACTTCCTGCTGGCACTGGTCTGACCCAGATACGACGGCTCGAAGTTGTTCGGCTGATGCATTGTAGCTGAACGTTGTGACGTGAGGTTTCTGCAGAGATGAGTTCTGGACTCGGACCAGAGCCGTGTTGTTGTGGGACAGAACTGTCCAAACTTTCTTTTCTACAAAAAAACCCCCAAAAAACAAACACTTTTATCATTCATTAGCAGAGTGACATTTATGCTGCAAACAGAAACACTGAAGGAGTTCATCTCAAGCTGAGCAATGTTCTTCAGTGTTTCAGCCGTCTTGCAGCTGCTCGTTGTAAAAACAGCTTCATGCATCAGGATTTCATCCTGTTTGTCTACTGTCTTTAATAAATCTCAGAACCTGTTATAGCTCCACTTCCTACCTGAGGGAGTCCTCATGACTCAATGAGACTACCTGTATCAATAAAGGTTAATAAATAAATAAAAATAAATAAAATCCCCTGTTACCCAAGGTCAATGGAAACCCCAGAAAAAAAAAAGCGTGAAGCTATGGCTCATTTGTAGCTCTTTTCCTGGAAGCTGGAGTCTTTTCTCGCTAACAACAGGTTGAACCAGACAGAAAGATGAAATTCTTCAGTCTGTTTACATCTCACGGAGAGACTGGCTGAACGGCATATGTCAGTCTACAGCCATGCTGTTGTTGGATTTCATATTTTTATACCTTTTTATATTTCCTATCAAGCATTCAAATGTCATGTTATACAAAGTGTGTGTGTGTCTTTCTTCAAGGGTTGAACTATATTTATAGAAAATGTTTACTAATTCTAACTATTTTACCTTTACATATAATCCTATATTAGCTAATGATAATTTTACAAGTTCACATTTGATATATTACAAGCAATCAAATCATGCCAGATAGCAGACTGATTAACATAAATAAAGCTAGAACACATTTCTTTAATTTAGACTTAATATAGTTTGACTAAGTAAAATCCCTCAGGTTCTCTCTTAATAATAACAATTAAGATTTAATCGTTTAATCATTGTTTGATACAGGGTCGGTTTAGAATGTTACTAGATGTGGGGGCAGGGTGACTTCAGCTGAACTGATACACCAGTATAAGCCAGAGGGATCAATTAAAAACACATAAACATGAGTTAGTTAATAATTAGTAGTTATTAATTATTCCTAGAAAGAAACTATTTTAACTCAAATATCAATAAGGTATAATCAAGCTAAACTGAAACTAGAGTGTGAACAGTCCGAAAGCAGACAAGAAACCAAGCCTCCATATCTTATCTCTGGAATGCAGTAAGAGGGGGGTGGGCTAGACCAGTAACCATAGTAACCGTGTCTAAACCAATCAGAAAGCTAGCCTTCTCAAACTTTGATAAAAGCCGGAAATGACACACGCCCAGCGAACATTTCCGAGGAAGCGCAGACCGAGACGGTTCGTTCTTAAATGCTCCAAATATATGCATATATTTTACAAATGTAATTGTTTGTCTCTGAATACCTGTAACTCCTGTTTGTCAAATAAATCTTTTGAACTAAGGTGACCGTCTCAGCTGTTTTGAACACGATCGTGGCAGCAAGCCACAACACTGTCCTCTAAAGGTTACAACCAGGGTTTAATTTGTAAACCAAACAATGCCAGAACACAAATAGTGGGGTTGGGTCCTCCCCCAGAAAATTTTGAATAAAGTAGACGCTATTTCCTGGATGCTGGCATATTTTAATGGGTTGTTAAACATCTACGTTTACCTTCATATGTAAACACTTGATTCAATAACTATTATAGAGAGCAACTAGAAGTAGCCTGACCAACAGCTCCCCTTGTGTGAATAGAGCATGCTCTGCTTATGCAACTGCCTTCATGTGCTTCAATTCTCAGTTGTTTAGTTGTACAATGAGAACACTATTTTAAAATTAAATTAAATTTGACACAATTTAACCTTTTTGTTGTTATCTACCTGGATTATTGAGTTTACAACACTTTTTCTGAACCACTTTGGCCTTGGTTGTCCTCAGGCTGTTTCTGTGAGTAGCAAGTTGGTCATCTGGCCAAAACATTTGATTGATGTACATGATGATTGATTATTTTGGATGGGTATGTTTTGCACATGTTAAAAGCCTACTTTTGAGATTCCAAGAGGAGGTTGGCTTGAAACCCAGCAGTGAAAGCTACCTATAGGACAGATTTGATTTTCAGGCCGCAGACTGTCCGGCATCTTCCCCCATCATCTGATCCACCTCACTGCCAGGTGGTGATCAGGTGACAGCTCAGCTCCTCTCTTCACCCGAGGACCAAAACAAACGGCCACAAAACAGATGACACGACTATGAAGTCAATCATCAATCTACGATCTAGGGCGTCCTAGTGCCAAGTGTACTTATGGACACCCTTATGTTCGAACATGGTGTTTGTAATGGACAAACTATGACTAGCACGAAAGTCCAACAACAGAACACTGCTCTGGCTCAGATCAGAGAGGCCGTTCCTCCCAATCACGCCCTTCCAGGTCACAGTGTCATTACCTTGGCATTGAAGTCCCCCAGCAGAATAAAGGAGTCCCCAGCTGGCGCACCTTCTAGCACCCCTGCCAAAGACTCCAAGAAGACCAGATACTCTGACGTGCCATTTGGTGCATAGGAACAAACAACAGTCAGAGCCCGTCCCCCCACCCGAAGGCGAAGGGAAACTACCCTCTCATCTACTGTGGAAAACTCCAACACACAAGCACCAAGTTGGGGGGGCTACAAGTAGACCCACACCAGCTTGACGCCTCTCACCATAGACAAGTCCAGAGTGGAATAAGGTCCAGCCCCTCTCAAGGAGATTGGTTCCAGATCCCATGCTGTGCATCTAGGTGAGCCCAACTACAAAGTAGATCTTGTCGGTACCTCTCAACCTCGCGCACAAGCTCAGGCTCCTTTCCCACCAGAGAGGTCACATTCCATATCCCAAGAGCCAGCTTTGGTAAGCCAGGGTCAGAGCGCCAAGGTCCCCGCCTTCAGCCACTACCCATGGCATCATGCTAAAGTTGCATTTGGGCCTAATAAATCCGGCCTGGACCGAACCGAGCCCGTAGTCTAAAGATATGCTATTATACAGATAAACAAAATTATTTTTAGAGCAAAATTATTTGGACAAATATAGAACAAGGTTATTTTAATTTATATATAAAATAAAGTTGTTCAAAATTAAGCTGAGTCATGCTGTTGGCTGATAATGGAGCGATTTAATGTACCCCCACACTACACCACAGAGAATAAAACTGCGTGTGTGCATGAAAAATACATTGAAAAGGCCTACAACAATGCTTACACTAATACTTTAATAAACAAAATATCTATGACAAACAGACTAACGGGTAAAGATAATGGATGGATGGATGGATGGATGGATGGATGGATGGATGGATGGGCTGAAAGAAAAGAGGGAAATTAATTAGTTTCTGGCTTTTCTTTCAGCCCTCCATCCAATAACGGGAGTGATAAAGAACAATAAAAATGATCAAAAATATATTAAGAATTGCACAAACATGAACAAAATAAAACGCGAACATATAAAGCTGGTTCAGTTTGCACCGGGTCTATCATATAATCAGTCACAGCTTCATTTCTTCTGCTATGAACCTGCGGAATAAAGCTGGAATTAGACCCCAGTTGCCTAAATACAAAATTATAAATATATTTAAAAATCTGTCAAGAAGTTGTTGTTGCTCCTTGGGGCTGAAAATTCTTCCACCGCATCTGAGAGCAGCTCGCTGGTCTATTGTGTTGCCAGCTGAGAGCGGGGAGTGGGTCTGAGCGTGCACCTGACAGCAGGTGTCATCATTTTAAGTTTGGTAAAGTTAGCCAAAGGAAAAGTGCAACTCTGTGTAAGTCGTGGATAATGATTTTGCGCTCCAGTACAATATGTTTGTGGCGCACAACACACGTGCTGTGGAGCTGAGCAGGGTGGGCGGGGTCACGAGTAATTGCTGCGCAACACGCCGCCTGCACTACTATCTTTTCTGATTAACTTCTGTATTCGATTTTATTGCATTCCTCCTCCTCAGTAAACTTACTGCCTCCTCCTCTAAGTAGGTTTACAGAATTTTATATTGTACATTTCTTATTTAGTTTTGTGCTGTACTGTATGAGTTGTAAATACTGAGATCGGCCCGGCCCGGACATCAATCACATTTATATGGCCCGACCCTAAACTGGGTCGGTCTGGGTTAGAATTGACAGCTCTACATCATGCATTCGACTTTTATGGCCCTTCCTGCAGTTAGTGGGTCCACATGAAGACAAACCCATGTTGCTGCTTCGGGCTGAGCCTGACCGGGCCCATGGGTTACCTGGTTACCAGGCACTCGCCGACAAGCCCCTCCCCCAGGCCTGGCTCCACGGTGGCCCCAGTAACCCACGTCTGGGCAAGGGACACAGAGTTTCTTGTTTTTCCTGTCTATAAAAATCTTCTGAATCACTCTTTGTCTGGCCTGTCACCAAGGACCAATCTGCCTTGGGAGACCCTACCAGGGGCAATTATAATTGTCCCTGACAACATAGCTCCTAGGATCATTCAGGCACACAAACTCCTCCACCACAATATGGTGGCGATCCAAGGAGGAGGAAAAATTAGATATTAATAGATTAATTAATTAGAGCAGCCTGTTTCAGTTGGATGCTGGTAAGAGGGACATGTTCTGTTCAAGTTAAAGACGACAGAGAGGACAAAAACTAACTAACCTCCACACACTTTTACAAACTACTACTTTACTGTCCCCATCTCAAAGCAAACAGGAAGTCCTGGAAATAACCTTCATCCACCTGTGCACATTTTTAACACGATAACTTAAAAATTAAGTGAGGTTCCAACTTACATTTTGGTCTGTAGCTGCATCTAAGAGTAAGAAAGGTTCCTTATGGAATTTGAGTTGCCAAGTCAAAATCCAAGACGGCCACCACCATATACATATGTATATGTATATGGTGGTGGCCGTCTTCGATTTTGACTTATTTATTATTTTATTAGTGCTGGGCAAAGATTAAATATTTTAATTGCGATTAATCTAAAATATTTTTGTGATTAATCGTGATAATCTCATTAGTGTGCGCAAAATTTAATTATGACTTAAAGGTGTTTAGAACATTTTTAAGGTACTGTTTTTTATGAAAATGTTCAATACATTAAAAA